GCTGATTAGCATACCATCACTCACACAGAGAGAGAGATAATCAGTGAAAGTACTCTGAGTGAATATCAAATCCATTCAAGCCTGGTCAATACTTGTGTGGCTGCTTACAATAGAGTCAATCATCTGTGAGGTGTTTAGAAAATAACTCTCATTCCAAAAGATTGAGCAGAAAATGAATTCAAGATGTGCTTCGTGTATCATGCTGAAAAGTTGCTCTTCATTTTCCAACAAATTGAAGCCAACAAATACACCATAGTACAACATGTGGAAATCATGCTTTCCATTCAGTCAAGTTAAGTTTTGCCAATCTTTATGGTGACTGCTCGACTCTAAGTACTTAATGATTTATAAACACACCCCCACAGCAAAGCTGCCACCTCAGTTGTTTTCTTATAGGCATGCTGTGCTCCTTGGAACTTCATCTGCAGTTTGTCTGCTTTCCTTTTTGAACATCATGATACCGTCTATTCTCTAATGTTATCCAACAAACCTGTGAGGCCTTCATGGAAACAACTTGATATGCAGTAGTCAAATGACACTCAAATAGACTTTTGGTTTGACAATTTATGGGAATTTTGAAGGCAGCTGATTAGGTCAGATTTAATTTAATAGATTTTAGAGTAAGTTAGTTGGAAAACAGCTTCAATTTACACATCTTTAGTTTTTTCTTCCACATTAAAACCACATGTATTTTATTTGATATCCTAATAAAATGTATTTAAGTTTGTGGTGGTAATGCGTATATCCCCAAATTAAATAGTTTCTAGAAGAACTGATTGTTAGGTAAAGAACTGACATCACCGGCAGTGAAAGAGATACCGAGCAAAGATGACTGAAGTGCATGTCAGGAAAGTGTTTACTTTAGTTTTGCCTACAGGAAAAGCAAAAGTTTTTCTATAAACTTGACACATTAAAAACTTTACAACTCAACTTCTTTAGAACGGTTGACAAAGCATTAACATTACCCATTAAATCATAATGTTGTTGTTAATGGACAGCAGAACTGGAAGTACTGAAATGCTAAAAAGAGAAAACATTAATCTTTTTTTTTCTATCCCAGAGAAGAAAACAATACAATGTTTTCATGAAGATAATGAATCAGAAAACATGTTTGTTGTGCTTTCTCTTAATAGGCTTGAAAAGATTAAATTAAACATTTTAAGTTCTAAGACTAAACAGTAATGGGCTGATGGCTTGAAACGGCTATTTTCTAAGATTAACCTAATTATACATTAAAACACTAAAGCGGAAGAGTCTCTTTCTGACAGTAAATAAATACTTCTTAGCATGTTGTCTACACATATCTAATAAAATATAAATCTAGTCCAGATATTTGAGAAGCTTCACAAGAAGCTTGTAAATTACTTTTAAAAAAGAGACAACAACCAGATCTGAACTGTTGAGAAAACTCTAAATCATGTCACAGACTCTGCATCACACTGACATCACCAAACCAAAACACTGCATAATTGCGCCATATATATTCAATGCTCTGAGCTTCCATATCAATGCATTTTTTGCACCATGTTTTTTCTCACACTCACATTTGATCACTGCTGCACTTTAAGAAATAGGAATGTCATGAAAGCTCTACAAAATAAAATTTCATTTTGTATGCACAAAAATTACAATAAAAGTTGTCTAAGTCATCAAAATTGAGTATACAAGACTTAAGAATAGATAAATAAACGCCTCATTGTTCCCGCATGTAGGATTGTAGAAATTAGCTTAAAGCTGGTTATAGCACACTTGTTTAACAAAAAATGTAAAATGCTTTTAGCTTAACAACTGGCATAACTTGTTAAGTAAAGTTAGGCAAATCAATTGACCTTAAAGATCCTTTAGTTTATGTTCGAGTCCAGAAGAAACTTATTGTGCTACCCCTGGCCAAATCTTCACGTAACATGCACATAGAGATTTCTGTCACTCTGGCTAAGTTACATTTTACCTTAACACAGTATTACATCTATCACTAATCAAAGACTTGGCTTCATTTAAAAGCATTACATGCACAATGCAAAGATAGGACAATCAGCTGTTAAGGTCTGCTGTATTATTGACTAAAAGCTGCATAAGATCGCACGTTCATCTTTATGCAAAATGCATATTGTGAAAAACTACTGCAAAGCAAAAATGTTATTATTCGATCTCTTATTTCTTGTTCCACACAGTTCAACAGCAATGTACAAAAAGAATCTTTAGTGCAAGAACACGAACTAACAGAAAAAAAAACTTTGATGAATAATGATCAGTTTATTTGTGCAAAAACAGACTTAAAATCTACTGATTAAACATAAAGCCCATATTTGAATAATGAAAATATATATTTTTTCCTGAAAATAGGCAAAGACATTTTACTGTTCCTTAGCCAGTGGTTCTCTAATGGTTAGAACGAAGTGCTTGCGTTCTGAGTAACCGTATCAAACCCCACAACCTGAAACTCTAACTCCAAGAGCAAAGACCCTTAGCCCAGATTGATCCCCAGAGAATAATAAATCTCACTACCCTTTACTTAAAGCTTTTGGTTCTTGGTTTATTTTGCTGTAAAGCTATTTATATAATTACCCTGCTAAATCGTTTTTTGGAAGATCTTTAATAAGTTGAGCTTGGATTAGCTTTGCTCTCTAGATGCAACAGTCATAGGGAGAGTGTAGACTGTAGATCTATCCTATAAATTAGATACAACTTAGCAGATCTATTTTTTAAAGATAGGTAAGTTGGCAGTTCAAATGGGTCACCTGTGCTTTGAGGATAAGGCTTTTATTCTCTGTAACCAGTACACTGCCATCAATATCATACTGTATTGATGGCATTCATGAAATAGGATCACTGGGAACCCCTCAGGCATGTAAAAAGTCACCTAATTCCATAATTTTCCACCAATGTGTCACTGGTCCTCTTAAACAACTCACATCTTTGTCAGTGAAGCTGAGTGGTCCCACATCTCTTCCTTCATGGTGCCCATCTACATTAAGGTCCAAAATTCTGAGAAAAAAAGACAGAATTCTGAGATTAAAGTCAGAATTCTGAGAAAAAAATGTCAGAATTCTGAGATTAAAGTTAGAATTCTGAGAAAAGAGTCAGAACTTTGAGATTAAAATCAGAATTCTGAGATTAAGTCAGAATTCTGACTTTTTTCCCATATTAAACTAAAATGATATTTACATTTACAAATCAGTTAACTTTTTTTTTTTTTCCAGTGGCCCTAATCTTCTTCTGTAGAAACTGAAAGGGAACATCTTACATAAAAAATAGTTATGGTCAAAGCAGGTTAAAAAATAAGCAAAACGTTTATTGTTTTTTAAATTATGTATATATTTTTGATTGACTAATCTTTAATTTTAACGACCATTTTGATTTGCGAATGCTGTTCAAGAAAACTAGTAAAACTTTATTTGAGTAGGTGGCGATAATGCTCCATTTGGTTGCAAGTCGCCAGTAAAACAAGAAGAAGAAGAAGAAAACTTTAATATTTTTTTTTTTAATGTAATCCACCAACCATCGCGATAATTGGTGATGTTCACCTGAGACTTCGGCCTTAGGATGGATGGTCGTTTGGTGCATGGCGCGTGTTTTGAAGCTGCTTGTGGAGAGATGTCCTGGGCCGTGAGTAGTGAGGAAACAGGAAGCGATTCTTGTGGGATGGAAGAGGGAAATAGTGACAATGAAGGTTGGAAGATAGCAACATCAAAAAATGAGAAAAAGCGGAAAAAACAGAGATCAGTTAAAGGGGAATCTAGTTCAGAACAATCCAGTGATGAGCAATCCATACATTCCGCAGCACAACAAAATGAATTCAAAGTCATATTCAAAGTCGTTAATCAGGCAGACTCTTTTACAAATTGGAATCCGGTTCACTTAACAAAAACCATCAATAAACTTGTTGGAGAAGTCAGAGGTGCCAGAATTCTGTACAGTGGAGACCTGCTAATTAACTGCAGAGACAGCGCCCAGCAAGGCAAAGCAATACGTATCAACAAAATTGACGGGATAAGAGTTCAGTGCAGCCTAATGGAGAACAAAAAGATCAGCAGGGGAGTCATTGGAGGAGTTCCTCTAAAAATTTCTGAAAAAGAGATTCTGGAAAACATAAGCGGTGCAAAAGTAAAAGAAGTAAAACGGTTAAAAACAACAAGAAACGGAGAAAGATCTGACAGTTTATCGGTGTTAATTAAATTCGAAGAAGAGCAATTACCAAGCAAAGTATTCATCGGTTACATAAGCTATAATGTCAAAATCTACAATCCTCCACCATTGAGATGTTTCAAATGCCAAAAATTCGGTCACATTGCAGCAGTTTGTAAAGGGAAACAGAGATGTGGAAGGTGTGCAGGAGAACATGAGTACGGAAAATGTGGAAAAGAAGCTAAAATAAAATGCTGTAATTGTGGTGGAGAACATACTGCTGCTTATCGCGGCTGTGAAGCAAGCAAAAGGTCTGAGGAAATAAAAAAAATGAAATTTGAGCTCGGAATAACCTACGCTGAAGCTGCAAAAAGGATCCCATCTCAGTCAGAAAAACCCAAACCTACAGTTCAACACACAGCAAATTCCAAACCTCTAGAGAAATCTCCAAAAATTGATGAAGACTCAGTAATTGTTAAAAAGACAAATTTTGTTCTTTTCATGGTAGAAGTGATTAATTGTACTGCACAGACAACAAAAAAAACTGAAAAAATCAAAATAATAGTGAAGGCTGCAGAAAAATATCTGGACATTAAAGATTTGAACTGGGAGATGGTTGGAAGCATGATGGGAGGACCGATGGGACCATCAGAAACTGGCAGAATTACGATGACCTAGAGTAAATTAAAATTATATGGGCAAATGTGATTTAGTATTATGTTGGTTTAAGTTACACAGGTTTTTTTTTTTTTTTTTTTTTTGGGGGGGGGGTGAATCGTTTCCTGTTTTCTTGCTTTACTCCATATCAGTTGGTGGCGGTAATGCACAATTCACAAGTCTGCCAACCGCCATAAAATCTCATAAGAAGAAGAAGAAGACTTCGGCCTTTTTCAGGTAGTCTCAAGCTGTGGAGGGAAAGGCAGCGCAAGAGTGCAATAAAACTGCCCGATAGTCCAGAGCAATAACTCAGTATTTGGGGTAAGTGTTGCTGCGATATTGTTTGTGCATCGTAATTCCTCTATGGGGTTTGCAGGACAGATGTATTTTTTTTTCTTGTTTAACCTTGGTAACACTTACGGCTAGCGCACGAGGAGACAGGCGCAGGTGCGCAAGGGTAACCGCCTGCTGTCTCACAAGCAATGTTTGTCAAAAAAAAAAAAAACCCTCTTTAATATTATTTAATCTGAATTTCTATTACGGTATTTTATTTATTTAATTATTTATTTCTATATGTTGAGGATCGATAAATTGTAACTCTGAGTACATATTAGCTTAGAAACTACTAGAATATAGAGATTAAGCCTTGCTAATGGCTAATTTACAGAACATTTCTGCTCCAGTTGGGGATTTTCAAGAGTTTTGATCTATTTATTATGTAACTGGCTGATATTAGATGCCGAATAAAGCGGGTTATTTAACTATCATTGTGCAAAATAACGGATGCTTAGTTCACAAATTAAGATTGCTACATTATTTTAAATGTTGTAATTATGGTTGTGTGTGTACCCAAAAAGAATTCGTTCAGCAAACTATTTCTGATGAATGACCTGCGTTTTATTGGGCAAATTTCACTTATTGACTCCTAAATAGACATTGGATATAATGGTTAAAAAAAAAGTTAAACTAAGACCTTAACATCCCTTCATAATTAAAAACACTACAATCACTGTAAGCATTTAGTTTGTGACCTTAAATAACATAATAACAACTTCAATAAACAATTTTGTATAAATAGATATGTGGTACTATTTCTTCCCAACAGCTGTTTGCTTATTTATGTCCCCTACAAAAGTTATGATGCAATATTTTGATTACATCTGTTGTACACCGGATAATAAATAGAAGTAACCATTTGAAAAGTAGTAGGTAGAAGGGCAGGCTCGAACTGGGAACGATTTTCAGCCCTGGCATTTTTCATCTACAACTGCCCACTTATGCTGCGTTCACACCGGGGGCAGCAAAAGCAGCAAAATCGCGTCTGCTGCTTCATTTTTGCTGCTTGTACCAGTGAATTCTGACGCGCGTCTGAAGCAGCTTTGCTGCTCTCGCTGCGCGGTCCAAAAGTGTGTCTGACGCGCGTTGGGCGGAGCTTCACTATCCTTTCTCTGCCTTGCAGCTATATTTGCTGTGATCAGTGGGAATAAAGTAGTTTTAATATGTTTTTAAGTGAGAAAATACACCTGAAAACTTCATCAGTGGTGTCAGTTCATCCAGATTACAATCCTGCCTCCCAATGTTATTTCTGTCGGAGCCGCTCAGACCCCCACATACCGGCGGTGCGCCGACAGAAGGAATCCATTCATCAGCAGCCTCTGGCCGGGTCGCCTCCTCGCGGTTTACCGCGGTGGCTGGTAGGTGTTTTTCATCTAAATAATCCGATCTGCAGGCACCAGAATAATAAAAGCGAACATATTCTGCCGGCAGATGTATATATTTTAAGTTAATTATGCGTTAATAAACTGTTTAAGAGGAGTAATCAGAGCGGTCTGTGTCATCAGCGCTGTGTCTCTCTCCCAGCCAGCTCCCAGATCAGCTTCTCTGATTGGTTGACGCGGCGCGTTGAGCAGCAAAAATTCAATTTTTCCATCTCGAGCAGCAACGCGTTTGCGGCGCGTCACGCGCGTCAGATGCCAAAACGCGCCCGACGCGCTGCTTCAGCTGCTCAGACGCGCTGCGCTTGCTGCTCGAAATGCGCCGCGGGACTTTTTGATGCGCCTTGACGCGCGTCAACCATTGACTTTGCATGTAAACTCGCTGCTTCTGTCGCGCCAGCTGCCCCCGGTGTGAACGCAGCATTATGTCCATACTAACATCAGCAGGGTTGCCAGATGTCACTGACTCACGTTTTACAGCGCAACATTTTTTTTCATAAACCGCCTGTATATACAAAAATGTCACCCAGTTTGAACCAAAGTCTATTAGGTCATACATCTAAAGAAAAAAGTTTTTTACCCATAGACGATCATTATAAACTGCCAGACTGGGAAACATCCCAACCTGGCAACAATTCACATCAGATGGGAAATGTTAGCCTTTAGATGCAAAACCCCATAATGCACTGCAGCATAGTTTTGCAAATTATTAGAACATAAATTAGCCAAATATAAGAGGAAGATCATAGTTTGGTTTAAAGAAAGCATTTTAGTTTTATTATAATTTACTTTGCAAGAATTTTACAGTTAGAAGAAATAGAAAATTACACCATATGCCAACTGTCACAAGGATGTGCATCACAAGGAAGGGCTATATATACTTCATGCATCATTTAGATAGTTAACATTATATTACTTTTTGAGCTCCTTGAATTATTTACTGTCACAGGAAGGTGCTTTGGTCGGAGAGTAAGTGTTGGAGCCAGTATGATTTAAGGAGGGCCGGCCCTCGCACACTGAAATTAGGACCGGCCCACCAGGCAAATTTTTTCCCTTTTTTTTTTTTTTTTTTTTTTTTTTTTTCCAATTTACCTGTGTGTAATTCTACACAGAAACCAGTGGAAAACATACTATCAGTGGTTATAAGCTACTCCTAATAATCAAATCTATTAAACAATTGTGTAAAATCTATGCAGGATTTAAAGTTTGCGTTGTAGTATTCCTCAAGACATTCATGGGTTGATTTCTCTTTTCCATCAGTATTTCAGTTTGTTTCCTTTTTTTCATAGATGCTTGGCACATGTAAGCTTGCCATAATTTTTGTTCCTACTAAAAAGACAAAACAATTCCTCATTTAAGTTACAAAATATTATTTAAGTTACAAAAGGTTATGTGTGCAGAATATTGGACTGCTAAGGTAATGAAACTCTAAATTGCTCCTTTGATATATGTAATGCTCTGCTTTACTGAAAAACAAAACAGTGAACAGTGAGGGTAGAGATGCCACCATGAATATACATTTTCATGGCTGGCATTAGATGTCTTTTAATCAAAATGTGGCAGAAAGCTCATGAAATTAAGCACACATTAACACATACATATTTAAGAGGTGAAAAGCAGTAGTTTTGAAAGCATTAGCTAGTCCTTTGAACAGACATAAATTATCTGTGAGAATTCAGCTAAGGCGTTTGCACTTGCTTGATTTTTTTTTTTTTTTTAAATAGAGCCTAAAGGCTTTTCTGGGAAGTGAGAAAGCTTGTCTGATGAGAGGTGAAATATCTTTAAGAAAATCGAGCAAGTCCTGTTGCTTTTCCTGAGCACTGTCTGATGATTAAAGTCCTGTCTACCATCCTTTTTATTGGATTTTATGAGTTTAGTAATGACTGTTGCCTCAATAGGATTTATCAACAGTTGTTACTGCTTTGTTGCACTTATTCTCCCCGTGTTGCCTTTAGTTTTGACTCTACAAACAGGAAACAGATTAAAACCATTTATATCAATAATCTCCATAAAGGTCTACATCAATGTTTGAATAGGATAGAATACTGTTGGTACTCTAACCCACAGAATATATCAGTAAGAATATAAAAACCTACAGTTGCCTGATAGTGAGTAGTGGAAATGATCCTATGGAGAGAGATACAATCTTGTGATTCATTTCTCTTGATTTCTACTTAAATGAAAGACATGAATGTGTATGTTGCATGAATTTGTATTGTTTGATATACCTATTGTCATTAAATCTGTAGATTTGTTTTCTAAGTTCAAAATTACTGGCAGTCCATAGTCTTATTGGCAGTCCATAGTCTTAATGCGGGGGTAATGTGGGGGAGAAAAAAAAAATAGATTTGGCAATATATTGTGATTTTTCACTGCCCAATATAATATTGAAATTATGAACTTTAAGTTCCTAATATCGATTTAAAGAAACCCATTTTTTTTTTTCTTTAATGTAAAGCAATGACTAATGAATAGGCTGCCTCTGGACCCCCACTCTGACAGATAGCTTGTGGTTTACTTGTGTAGTTGAGGCAGTCAGGCTTTTAGCTAGCCATGCATACAGCCATACATTTTACAACATTTGCTTAAAAAAAAGGACAAATTGTATGGCCTGTTTTTCCCCTGGAATCTTCAATGAAATCTTCAAATTTTCCAGATCCAGTCTTCACCGGGCCCCCATCTTGAATTCCCCTTCTAGTCTTGCGTAATCTTGCGCTAAGCTCACATCTCGCAAATGTGGGGTGTGCTGCTTAAACCTTGACAAATGCAAGCAACGTTTATCGAGAAGTTGGCCAATGCAAAAAGATTGCAAACAATAGATATGTCCTCATTGTCGACTCATCATTATTCCAAAGCTGACACACAATATCTCATCTTCTTCTGTGTTAAGCAAGGAAACCAAGGTGGCAGTCAGCAGTGTGTGTAAGGAGCAGCCCATTGAGAAAGGTAAGATATCAAGCATGATGTTGAATGAAAATATTGATACACATATTTTATATTTCAGGTGATTTATTATATCGGGCAGTGCAGCAGCTCTGGAGTGTGTTTTTGAAAATACAATCTCAATATGTTTTTGTCATTAAAAAACAAAGTAAACACCTTAAGTGCAATAGAATAAATTTTTGTTCCATTTCACGAAATAACAAGCAGTTAGCACCAGATTATTAGTGTCTCCTTTTATCTCTGTAGTGCTGCCACCGGATAAAATATAGCCTTAATGCAGTTGATTTTGTTTTTAGGGCTGCATAGAAATTCAAATTTCAAGAATCGATTAAAATTCTCAAGATTTAGATTTGATCTGATCTGACATCAAATTAGATTGCTGGTATTATGAGTTTATATGGGCGAGAACCATACTAGGGCTTTGGAAAATTACCTAAAAATCTACTCTATGACCCCTCCCAACAATTGTATTAATTTATTTTTAAGTTTCATAATAACCTTCTATAACAAAAAAGACAAATGACATATATTTCTTTCAAAAAACAGTTTTAATATCAGTAATTCATTCTGGTAGGTGACCTTAAGTTTAAATGAAACAAAATTCAAGCTGTGAAACATCTTTCAATACAGCTTGCAAAATACTTATCTCACAACAAACAATTAGAATATAATGCACTAAATAAGTATTTAAAGATTTGAGATAGTAATGAACTGAAGTTGCACTGAGCTGAAACTCAGCTCAGTGCAACTGAAACCTAAAGAAAATATTGGTTGGAAAAAATCTAGATATTCCAAAAGTTAAATCTAAAAAAATATTTTTCTTTAATCTCCCGGCCCTAATGAATAGTAGTATTTTATTATAATTAACAGCAAATTAATAGTCATAGCGGTTAATGGTGGCTGTATGGACAGTGGAAAACGTATTTTTTTTAAAAGTAGCCTTTTGGTTATATGAAGTGATCTTTAGAAATGTATATGAGATCCGGTTGAGAATTGAAAAATATGTTTTTTTTAATACAGCTCTTCTTTTTTTTTATCCAATAAGAGGTGTGTGCTAAAAAAAGTGATGCTTTAAAAAAATGTTGGTTGGAGAATTACAGGAGTTAGAACTTATACAATTTGAGAATTTTCTAAAGATGATAACAAAGCACTCGAATAAGATAAAAGGAAAAATATCTTTATTTTCACTGACTGGGAAAATTGGAGCGTTAACATTGGCGGAAAGAAATGGACAAAAGAGACAGGACTTAAGCGAGGTTTATCTTTGTTACATCTATGTTTTCAAAAGGAAATGAAACTTGCTAAATCTGAAAAAAAAAAACAAAACAAAAAAAACAACTTTTGTAGCATTTATACTCTGGGCAGCTTCTCCCCACTGTACCCAATATTCTGCTGGTCTCTAGGGGGGATTAGGGCTGGGCAATTACTTGCAATTGCAGTATAATCACAATTTAACAAAAAGCCATTTTCAAATCGCACTTTTTCACATTAAGACTACAGTCCTGAATTGATCAAGTCTTTGGGGTGGGGGGGGGCAAGGAATATAAAAAACTAAATCATTATTGCAAATATGTAAAAATTATTTATGGCAACATTTTTCAGCCCTAGGGGCCAGTGTTTTGCACAGATGGCAAATGCACAGTACCATGCTACACCTAGAAGTAGAAAGCACAGGTTTCCGACATTTTGAATGCCTCCCTGTATCATCTAGCCTAGTAAACTAGCCACACCGGCCACCGGCCAAAATCATTTTTGCCTGCGAGTTGGTCTAGCCTCTATCAATGCCCCAGGCCCTAAATCTGGAGGGCCAATCACAATGCAGAGATGCTTTGAATGTCTGGATGCAAAGCGGGCGGGGTTTTGACGGCATGACGACAAAGCTGCACGACCCAGTAGCATGGACTGCGCCAGCAGTAGCTTTCAATGGAGCGCTCCGTTGAAAGTTAAAAGTTCTCTTTCTGTTGCTGTTATTCAATAAAACTACGTTTTAAGATAATTTGAGGGGAGAATATTAAACTTTAAAGCATCACTTTGTGGTCCATTTACTGATTTAATGCGTTATTTAAAAAAAACAATTTCCGAAGTTGAAAGGACTGCGGCAACCAGCGGAGCTCCGAAGCTAACAGCCGCCAGGGCTAACTGCAGCCCGTCTGTAGCAGACCTCTCTCGGTATAGTCGTGTGTGAAGGACCGCTGGCTCTAATGGCGATTTTTGGAAGGATTAGATTTGGGGTTTTCGTTGAAATGTGAGCAGGAAGAGGCTCTACGCTCATCCATTTCTGAGAAGGACGTATTCGCCGTTTTACCCACAGGCTGTTTGTTTACACTCCCCCAACAGCTTTCTGTCACGCTTACTACGTCACAGTCAGTTGCGCTCATTGGTCAGAGTGTTGGCCAATAGGCACAAACATGGTTGAAAAACAACGGGTTGTTCTCATTAACAATCTTCCATTGTCTCATTCATCAGGGGCCAGACTAAATAACACCTTTCATCTCCCATTTAGTCAGGTTTACCAGGCTATGTATCATCCAAAGATTTAATTCATTTCTTTGTAAAAGTTGTTCACTACCTGTTAATGGCAGTGATATGTAAAAACCATATACATTTGTTATCAGAGAGTTGAACATTTTAGACGTATGGAAGACTGTGGTTGCTAAAATGATTTTGATTAAGCTCCCTCCCGACTATCAGGAAAAACTCGCTCTCTTCCGTTCTTTCACCCAAACAAAGATAGCGGAGCATTCCATCGGGCCAGATGAAATTATAAACATGGATGAAGTACCTTTGACTTATGACATGCCTCTCATGCGGACTGTTAATAAAAAAGGTGACTCGTCCATCTCAGTAAAAACCACGGGTCACGAGAGGACGCACTTCACCTGTGTTCTGAGCTGCACAGCATCCGGACTAAAGCTTCCACCCATGGTGATTTTTAAGCGGCTGACAATGCCAAAGGAAAAAATCCCGAAAGAAATCGTGGTGAAAGTTAATAAGAAAGGCTGGATGGAAGAAAGCCTAATGAAGGAATGGCTTACGGAGTGCTATGGCAAGCGTCCAGGGGGATTTTTTCATTAAAAAAAAAAGCACTGCTCGTGATGGACAGCATGAGGGCCCATATTATATAATCCTTCACCAAAACTGGCCGCATGCGAAGGGCATCTTTCACCGATGTCTGCCAGTGGGTTCTCAATGCGTGGAGCCGTGTAAAAACATCCAGCATCATTCGGAAGGCTGGGCTGTTGCGGGATGAAGAGGACCGCGAGTGCTCAAGTGAGAGCGACAAGGATGAGACTGAAGTCAGGGACGGCATCCTGAAGCTGTTCCATTCAGACACCGAGGAAGAGGACTTTGAGGGTTTTAGTGCGCGGGAGGAAGAAGAAAATGATTAAGGACTTTTCCTGGTCGGCTGCAATGTTCTGTTCAATGCGTTGTTCAATTAAAAGTCCCGGCACATGCAGCGTTATTTGCGTGTTACCGACACGTGTTTTAAAATGTGTTACAGGTAGTTTGAAAAAAAAAAAACGTTCATAATATGTACCGTATTTGTTTTTTTATCATACGGATTAAATCAAACGTTAAAAAATGCTCACGTGTAATATCTTTATTTGTAAATATCTCATACAATGTGGGAAACCTGCGGCTTAAAATCCGGTGCGGCTTATAAAAGTACAAAATTGATTTTCTTTCTAAAATTAGAGCGTGCGGCTTGTAATCAGGTGCGCTTTATAGTCCGGAATTTACGGTACTAAAAAAAGAAAGCAAACTGATTAGGATTTGTATAAAGCCTATATATCTGACTTTGTAATGTTTTTTTTTAGGATTATCACTATCATTAGGCAGTTTTGTAATTATTATGGTTATTTACATAAAAATCTATCTAAACGGAAAATTGATGTGTATGTAATGCTCAAGCTAAAAGGGCAACTGGTGACAAAATAGGAACTGAAAACACCCCTGAAAGTCCTATTATACTGTGTATTTTTAGGCTCTGACAGGATCAGAGGTATCATGTCATTTCGCCCTCTGATGGAGAGGAGAGGAGGGAAGCCTGCCCTTGTGTGTCATGTTGGTACATGAGCTAATCCTCATTCCTTTTGGCTGCAAAAAGCATACGGCTGTTTAGTGACAGCAGGCTGAAAATGGATCGAGTTTATTAACAGAAGCTGCGATGTCCATCTCCACTGGTTTGCTAAAGACTGTCACAGTGAATGAATGTGTCTTATATGAATACATCACTGCATATTGGATGAATTTGTTCCCTACAGTCAAATGAGCTCAGAGTCTGAGGTTTTTTTCCTCCCTTCATATGTCCTGCCTCTCATCTCTCATTTGTCTTTGCTCTCTGCGTTAATGTCTTCCCTATTACTGCTGATTTGACTTGTCTCCTTGTGAATACCTAATCACTCTGAAGATTTCTCACTTTCATTCCTAAAAAAGTTTATTCGCTTTTCTTTAGTTACTTTCTTGGCTTTGTAACAATTATTTATCACTGTAAGGGTAATGTATAATATATTTATGAACCCTGTGTTTAGCATGATATTTGTCTCCCCAGACAGGCACAGACAAATGGTATTTATTCCCGTTTCCGTCAGCACATTATTATATTTTATTAGTTTTTATTTCTATTCTTAGGTTTTTATTATAGCTTTTAATACTTTTCAAGCACTGTTCTGTGGCAGCTGCTACAATACATTATGCAGATATATATAACAAATATAAAACTATATGGATTTATGTGAAAATATGTTTTATGATATTTGTTAGTGCTAAAATGCAGTTTCTAACAAATGTTTTACCTCTTCCTCCAAGGCTGCACTGAAGATCTAGTCACGAGTGTTCTGCATTAAAAAAGCCCCTCTGCTGCTTCAGAATAAGGTAGGACAAACAATAGTGTCTTTGCCAACAGCACACAGCAAAATGTGAAATGTTTCAGCTTTGTCCTTGCTCAGGCTTTTGTTTATAGCATTTAGATTTTTCAGCTTGTGTGCCTAAACTGAACTTGGTTTATAAGTCTATACTACCCTGTTTTTATTTTGTCGATCAATTTTGAAATAAATCTTAAAATGTGTCTTTCCTACATGGTATTCCAATACTTATGGTCCCCAGCCATTGAAATCACAGCTATGCCCTCCTTTTTTAAACCAGTAGCAGCTTTTTAAAATGGATGTCTGTGATTTCAAAGAAGCATTGCTTATGAGCTGCACCCTTGTGTGACAGCAAGTCAATGTGTGTGCAGCTTTGTGTTTCTCACTTTCTGCAGACACACTGGTCGTGCTAATAATCTCATTTTCAAAGCTGCAGATTTTATAGATGACTAACGAGATGACATTTCTCTGAATACTGGTTCTCTTACTGGTATTCCACTGGTTGTTCACACATCTGCTTGATGCCAAACTGACAATATTTTTTTCTGTGTCATTGCTGGAAATATTTCATTGCACTCCACAGCTCTTGTAAAAACATATTTTAAACCTGTACAGAGCAAAGACACCAATCGATCCAATGTGCTGCAGTATGTAACAACACCATTATGGTAGCTTTTATCAAAAAGTGAGAAGTATTTCCTCATTGTCATAGCTTTTTGCAGTGGTTAGTGAGAGCAACTAAAAGACATTGATTTGGCCTGTCTTTTTAGTTGACAAAGACTCCTGGATAGGTGCAGAAATGTTTTCAGAAAAACTGAGTGAAAGACCAGTTACCTTTGATTTAAGCCTGTTAAATGGATGCCACAACCCAGATGTCTGAGAATTTGCACATGAATAAAATACTATAAATATACGGTACATATAATAAACTACTATTTTTATTAGCTTGATATTAAACATCTAAACCTATCCATTTATGTAATTAAAATAAAAAAATACAATTTTGTAAAAATTGTATTTGCTATAAATTTATCAAAGTAACATGCATACCTTACCAAAAGTAATGGGTCACTCTCTTTTAGAGCTAAAAGTAATAAAAAAAAAGCTCATTAAAGAGCATTTTAACTGTTATTGGAATTAAAACACGGTGTAAAATAGAGCCCATCAGAATAATCAGTACATATTAAACTACACTTTGTCAAGGATCAGAAGAGAGGACCCAGAATTCAGGCAAGACGGACGTCTTTATTAAGGCGTTTATTATAACAAATGGGTCTGCAGAAACAGTGGCTAGGGTGTCTGTGCATATATATATATATATATATATATATATATATATATATATATATATATATATATATATATATATATAGAGAGGGAGAGAGAGCAAGATCGTTAAGGCTACATCAAAATAGCCATACCTTCTTAGACAAGGTCTACGTTGTGTTGAGGGACCAGGGCAGAATGGTGACAGGTGGGCTATTGGAACAAGAACAAAAGGGACATGAGAACATAATAAGGCACTATTGGATACTTCTACTCCAGTAACGGCGACCATTGTGCTGTATGAAAATTAGAGTGCTAGAAGATTTGGCAAATGTAATGTTAAGCTTCAGATAACACTGGATTCTCCAAAGGGGATCTACTGGCTTAGAAATGCTGCAGAAATACAAATAGATACCCACACTTGAGTAGGGATGGGGATCGAAACCCGGTTCTATCAAGGACCCGGTTCCACTTTTTTCAAAACCCGAAAATCAATAACGTTTGGGCTTATCGATACCACTATCGAGTCTGGTCGTTTTTTTTTTTTTTTCTCCCGGAGGTCCTGTAACATAATTGTGTGTCCCTCCAGTCGCGTCACAGCATTTAAATCTAATCAATCCAATCACTGCAGCATGTCCACCAATGTTTTGGAATGAAATTGTAAGCAAACGGATATTAAAAGTAAAACAAGTGAAGTCTGGCACTTAACTTTGCTCGCGACTCGAGAATGGCTGAACGGAAAAGACTCCTCCTCCTCCGGCTGCTGCCGTCGCACCACAGTCGGGCCCGTCTTCATCATCCACTCAGAGTACCACTGGTAAGCGCGCACACAGACTTTGTAGCTTGTCCGGTCAGTTAAAAATAGTAATTGTGAAATCCGTGTTGTAATCGGCAGCATACAAGCTAGTTAGCTTGAAAAGTAAATAGTTTCAGACGTGCTGCGTGATGATGTGTTCAGATTGGCTCAGTAAAACGACAATTAGGTTATCATGATGCGTTCAAGTGTAACGTAAAGAAAACGGGAAATTTAGTTTTTGGCGAGAAACATGAGTAACAGTTGTATATTGCTCTAACTATTTTAGAATATATAATTAAACTACTGATGCCAACATTTATTAAAAATTACATTTAATTTAAAATACAATTATTCATTTGTTAAATATTTTCCTAATCACTAAAAACATGATGAAAAGTGACAGTAGACAATACATTAACCAACAATTGTGAAAATATATTCTAGTTAGTTTTATGTCATTTCGAAGTGGCCTATTACATTAGCCATGTTTATTGAAGGCTAGAAACGTTTTTGTTATGCTCACTTGTTAAAGGAATAGTACACCCAAAACATGATTAGCCTTCATTTTCTACTCACCCCCATGCTGAACAAAACTCTGGAGTACTTTTTTGATATCTCAAATGCATCTGGAGATCTGGGAGGCTTCTTGCTGTCTGCTGACATTCAAATAATGGAGGTCTATGGCGCCCGAGACAGAAAGGTCCACAAAAACTTGTCAATATTCCTCCATACTGCTCGTCCAATGTAATCCAAGTGTCCTGAGTGGGTAGCATCCAGAATTTACTCGAAACGAAGTCATTTAGAATGTTTTTAGAGCCTAAACAGTAGTGTATAGGATTTCCTAATAGCGCCCCCATGCGCGCTCACGATTCTACGGAAGCCGGCAGACCAAACCAGCGCATTCAGCTCGGCAAAGAACTCATGCTCTTCCTCAACACTGAAGTCCTCAGACATTTTTCTTTCGTTGTTTCTTTCTTTGCACAGGTAAACAGCAAATTTCTTCTTCTACGCTTGCATTATCGGCAGACCAGACGCTGAATGCGCACTTTCTTCCGGTTTGGTCTGCCGGCTTCCGTAGAATCGTGAGCGCGCATGGGGGCGCTATTAGGAAATCCTATACACTACTGTTTATGCTCTAAAAACATTCTAAATGACTTCGTTTCGAGTAAATTCTGGATGCTACCCACTCAGGACACTTGGATTACATTGGACGAGCAGTATGGAGGAATATTGACACGTTTTTGTGGACTTTTATGGACCTTTCTGTCTCGGGCGCCATGGACCTCCATTATTTGAATGTCAGCAGACAGCAAGAAGCCTCCCAGATCTCCAGATGCATTTGAGATATCAAAAAAGTACTCCAGAGTGTTGTTCAGCATGGAGGTGAGTAGAAAATGAAGGCTAATCATGTTTTGGGTGTACTATTCCTTTAAGCAATAAAAGCAATACCAGTTCTGTTAAAAAAATTTGTTGCATCGTCTTTCCACCAAATAACATAAAAGTATCGATAGTGGTATCGATAAAGACTCGGATCGATAAGGAGTATCGATAAAGGTATCGATATCAATAAATATTAACGATCCCCATCCCTACACTTGAGGCCCTGAAACTGCTGCACAAAGACTCCAAGCTTTGGTTCCCCGACTGAAGAGGACCTTGGAATGTTCATGCGAAACTGGACCTGAGGTCAGCCCTCGCAGCCATGTAATAAACAAGACTGGCTATGGATACTGACTGAAAAATGGGGCCACTATCAGCCACCTCCTGTACATGGATAGAAACAAGCTGAATGCTAAGACGGAGCAAGACACTGACTTGCTGATCCACACCACCAGGATCTGTAGCAGGGACATCAGAAAGTCATTCAGGCTGAAGAAATGTGTCTGGATGGTCAGAAGGAGAGGGAAGGTAATCCACAGAGTGGATTGCACTCCCAAAAGGGGAGTTAGTAGACGTAGAAGAGAGCTACATGTACCTTGGAATACCACAGCCGAATGAAGAGGCTGCTAGCAAAGCTGCAACATCCAAATACGTGCAATGAGTAAGGCAAAATCTGAGAAGTCTGCTCAATGGTAGGAACAAGGTCCAGGCACTCAACAGCTATGTTTGCCAGCCATCGGATACCCTGTTGGGGTATTAAGTTGGCCTAAGGAGGTAATTGAGGCCATCAATGTTAAAACACAAAAGCAACTCACCATGGATGGTGCATTCCACCTCAAATCTGGTATCCACAGACATACAATAAGGAAGCAGGGGCCTAGTGAGGATCAGAGCCACCAACGAAGATTAAAAACATTCAAGCTCCAAGAATATATTGGGAAAATTATTATTATTTTTTTTTTACCAAGTTTCTTCTGCACTGTATTGGCACTTAAATTGTCTCTTGTCCAGAGTCCATTGTGGTGTGACTTTAAATTTTTTCAAAGTGTTACAATGGTTTTAGGTGGGTATCATGTATAATCAAAATGTTGGTACCATGAACCCATGTCAAATCTCAAGGCAGGACTGTCCCTGAAATAAATTATTTGCTTGTAGCTAGTGGCTTACTGTTGATTCAATGAATTTATTGTTGCACTTCTTTTTTTAGTTCAACCAAGTCAACTGACACATTCCCCACTCTATCCCTCTTCCTGAGGTGCCTCTTACTTGAGAACCACAGGAACAGGCTTTAAGGAGATTGTCTGAATCTCATTCCTCCCTTTATAGTTGGTGTCCTTGTTTTTATTCTCCTCAGGCACATGCTTTCACATAAAGCTTGTATTCTATTTTTTTACTGCTCATCCTGTCACATTTCTACTAGCCAGGAGACAGTGGTAAGGCATTCAGAGTCTTATGGGTGCAGAAGTATCTAGAAGTATCTTTTTAGTTCAGCATAAAAAAAAACAGTGTAGCCATGTGTTGAAGAACATTTTTTCTGTTGCAGTACGGATAAACACATGCTGAAGATCAT